TTAAGAGTTTCCCTTTCCAAGGTTGAGGGAAAGGGGAAAGAGCAATCTTGTTTCCACCCTAGGGAATTTGAATTATATAATTATTCACTCAAAACGGGAACAGAAGAGTGGGGGCAAGCCAGCCTTTCAGAGTTGCAGCATGTTGTATTTTCACCATGTATGGATAGGGCCAGAAAAATGTTCTTCTCATCAGAAGCAGCAGCTTTTATTCCAATTCTTTTTGAGTCTGTCCCACACAGCAAGGGGTTACCGGGGAGACAGGTGCCAAGCAGCTTTTGTCAGAGAAATCTTCCATTTGCATAGGAATCTGAGCAAATGTCTGTTGGAAGTGTTTCATACCTTGGTTTTGTCACTTATTCTTTTCTTGGGACAGCAGGGGAACATGATGAAATAGAGTACAGCACAGAGTTCTGAAATGTTTCTTTTGGATTACTATATCCAGAATCCCGAAGAAGAAGTGTCCACTTGCCATGCTAACAAACAACTTGGAGAATGATAGTATGTATGTATGTGTGTGTGTGTGTGTGTGTGTGTGTGTGTGTGTATATATATATATATATATATATATATATATATATATATATCTCACCCCCCAAATCCTGGTGCAACTTTTATCAAAAGTAGGGCAAAGGGGGCTTGGTTGACTTTTATTGTTGTTACTGTGCGCCTTCAAATCATTTCCTTCTTATGGCAACCCTATGACAAATCTATCATGTGGTTTTCCTTGCTAAGAGTTGTCCAAAGAAGGTTTACCTTCTCCTGCTGCAGCTGAGAAAGTATTAGTTATTATTTATTTATTTTTATGGAAATTTCTATGCCATCATTCTCCAGGACAGACCCAAGACAGCTCACATCATATTTTAAATATAGATACAAATAGTTAAAAACCGCTAAACAAGTATTAGAGGTTCAATAATCCTTTAAAACTTTTGGGATTATTGAACATCAAAAGTCAAAATCAATCTAAAAGTAATGTATTACTTGCCCAAGATCACACAGCGAGTTTCTGTGACTGAGTGGGAATTTGAATCCTGGCCTCCACAGAGTTGTAATCAAACATTCAAATGGCTATATCACATGGTCTCTCTTTGCAAAAGTTGCATTGCTAGGTGATGCACACATTAGCCTGCCTCCTGCTTTCGACAGTGAAGTACAAAACCTCACTCTATACCTATAACTTGTACAAAATAGTGTCCATCCGCATCACCATACTGGCACACTGCAAAATGAGATGGCAAAGAATTCGTCAAGTAGCAAAGGAACCATATGGCTGCTCACTGCTAGCCAAACCTCTTCATATATTCCCCATGGTTCAAAAATACTGGTGAGAAGTAGAGCAAATTAGAAGTGAGATATTCTGATTGCTGAAACTGACTTGGTTGGATTTCCAGCATACAAACACATACACAAAAATAATCCCTAGATTCTCAATCTTGCCAGAAATGTGTAAGTTGGAAAAACTCATATTTATTCAAGATCAAAATGTTCATCATCATCTAAATGTGACTTTTACAAAAAAATAACCAGGTTCTTAAGGTAACAAAACCTCACAAATTTAACCACTTAGGGGCTGGTACAACCTTTTTCCTGGGAACATTTAGTCCACCAAACAAATTAATCTGTCCATTAGGCACTGGCTGGCAGAGAATTGGGCAAAGCTCAGCCCATAAGATGATTTTGGACTGTAATTCTCACCCTTTCTTAGCACTGTGTGGCTGAATAGTTGGAAGTTGCTGTCCAGCATCGACTATACTTGGACAGTCCTTGGACTAAACATCTAACTAGGATCAGGGAGGACTTGTTTAAGGTCCTCACTTATCCCCAAAGTGGTATTTTTCCAGCCAAACTCATTTCACAGAGTTGGAGGGAGAAATTAGCCTGCCACCCTGAGTTCATTAAATATAGTCATATTAAATATAAATGTTATCATGCGTGAAATAAGCACAATTTCCTGGGTTCCTGGCATCTTTACCATATGTACAAAAACCAAAAAAAGCAAGATAATTTAGGGCAAGGATTAAATAATCTTTTTTTACTCTGTGTTCTCAAATTGATTTTTTTTGGTCCACTGATCACTAACTATTTTTTAACCTGCAATGCTTAGGGAGGTAAACATGAGCAAAACTCAAACTCTTAAAAAAGTCCTTCAATTTCCTTTTCAAACTATGTTATAATTCATTTTCAAAGCAGATTGTAAACAGATTGTAAACATTTTTACCTATAAAGAAATGCTTGTGCACATGTTTCTGCTATTGACAAATGCATATTTGGGTTCATTTTTAAAATCGAGTTTTCATATGCAGTTTTGTCTAAAATCGTAATCAAATATAGTGTTTGGAGGTGAATTAAATGGAACACACATTCACAAATATATGAATGTGTGATCATAAATTGAATTTATGATATAGAATATGGATAAATCTGCTGGAAAATGCACTAAAGCTGTTTTTCCCCGCACCCCTAGAATGACCTACTCTCTTTCTAAGTTCATTACAAAACCTGAGGTGAAATCTACTATTATTCAAGTTTCTATGGAATGCTGTCAGGATCAGCACATCATGAACACTAAAGATCAGTGACAAGCAAAAAAAAAGTCATTTCTTTTTGGATTTGTCCTTTTCATTTTCTTTTCACTGTAACTAGAGTCACTTGTGGCCTCAGGCTAGAATTTGAAAGCACTGCAGTATCGATTGGTGACTCAGGTGCTCCATATTGCCCCCAGACAGGTGACTTGGAGCTGTGATCTGCTCTACACATACCATCCAAGAAAGGTCATGATCGACCAGTGAGTGCTTCAAAGGCAAAAACTTCCAAGATACATAGACAACATTGACATTCAGCAAATGTAGCCGCCTCTTTGTTGAATATATGAACTTTGCTCCAGTTTGTCAACTCTGGATGCCAATTGGCTAAAATAAGCAACATAAGGAAGTGACCAGGTCAATTTGTCTCCTGAGTACAGCACACTGTACAATTTTGATGGACCATGGCTTTGAACCTCAGTTGTTCTCTCTCTCTCTCTCTCAATCGCCCATCAAACTATGGTCCCTGCCCTTTAGTCGTAACTAAGCTACACTGGCCTCAGCTAAGATTTTTGCTTCAACTCCAAGTGAGTTAACATGAACTAAGGCCATATATTAATTTATGCTTCATATTTAAATTGTATATGAAGTTTACAACATGTGGTATATGTTATTCCAATCACAGCTTGCATTATGTCTGTGTTACATTTTAGTTTAGTCCATGTCTGGGACTTCAGGCTTGTCTACGCTTGCAAAAAACCCACTCACCCTGAATAGAAGGCTAGCTGTCTTCATGACAAATAGTGACTTCTGGTGAGTAACAGAGGCTTGTTTTGTTGTTGTTGTTGTTTCACTTTAAATAGACTTTTCCACTTGGGGCAAAGTCAGGGGATACTCTGGAATGTGCTGGAAACTCCAGCATATTATCTGGCTTCAATGTAGTCAGGACAGTAGGATCAAGTCAGATTTGGCAAGATACACTCTCCAGGATGGACACTGGTACCATCACCCTTTGTCTGTACTCATTAGAACAGGAAAGGGGGAGCAAATAGTGGCTCTGTCAACATCTGCCACTAGCTGGCTATGAAGGTCCATCTAAGCTCCTGGCAATCATGAATACTTCTGGCGATGTTAGCATAAAAGAGCTAAGATACAAGCCATCTCAACTGGATGGATGTGCTCTTGGGCGATCTATACAAGGCCCAGATTTTGCATAAACATGCCAGATTCATGGCTGCTCCAGGCATGTTTACACTAGGCTAAACTGCTCAGTGTAGATGAGCCTTCTAAAGAGCTATTGCCATTCACTTTAGATGCTAATCTAGATAGAGCAAACATCTAGCAAGATATAATGCCAAATTCTACATTTAATTATCCTACACTCAATCTCTGCTGTGCAGTTACAAGGACTTATTTATTTTTATTTATTTATTTCCTATATTTATACCCCGCCCTTCTCTCCCCCCCCCCCCCCCCCCGAAGGGGGACTCAGGACAGCCTAACAAATGCATCATACGATGCTAGCATAATAAAAACAACCACAGTACAATCAAAATATTAAAAATTAAAACAACAATTTAAAAAAATAAAGACACATCCGTTAAAATCAAAATCCAAAAACCAGTCCATTGCCATAAGTTGTGTGATCTTCTTCCACTTGCTGCTCACTGATCAAACACTTGGTCCCATAACCAGGTCTTGATTTTCCTTCTAAAAGACAAAAGGGAGGTGGCCAATCTGATATCTCTAGGGAGGGCGTTCCATAGGTGGGGAGGGGAGGCATTGCTGAGAAGGCTCTGTTTCTCGTCCCCATCAACGGTGTTTGCAATAGTGGTGGGATAGAGAGCAGGGCCTCTCCTGAAGATCTTAAACTTCGTGATGATTCATGGCAGGAGATACGTTCAGACAGGTAGTCTGGGCCAGAACCATTTAGGGCTTTAAAGGTTAAAACCAGCACTTTGAATTGTGCTCAGAAGTTGATCGGTAGCCAGTGGAGTTGGCGTAACAAAGGAGTTGTATGTTCCCTGTACACTGCTCCGGTGAACAACCTGGCTGCCGACTGTTGGACTAGTTGAAGCTTCCAGGCAGTCTTCAAAGGCAGCCCCATGTAGAGTGCATTGCAGTAGTCTATTTGGGATGTAACAAGAGCATGGACCACCATGGCCAAGTCAGACTTCTCAAGGAACAGGTGCAGCTGGCACACAAGTTTTAATTGCGCAAAAGCTCTCCCAGCTACTGCCGAGACCTGGGGTTCCAGGCTCAGCGATGACTTAGCATGGACTGGATTACTAAACATTTTAAAGAGATATCTACAAGATGCAAAAAGTACAAGATAGATCAAAAAAGGTGGTGAGGGAAAGCAGAAAATGCAATAGACCAGAACAGTGAATCAAAAATGCATTATAAAAGAGCAGGTAAAATTGCCTTTGGTGATGGTAGCAATGCAGGATCAAGCAGAGAAATGCAGAGGGGTCTTACTGCAGCATGTGCGTCTGGCTGGCCTCCTTTTGTTTTTCAGGTACCTCGTAGTGTGGGGATATCTTCCCTAGACCACTGTCACTCAACATGCGCTTTCGAACCGCAGGGTTCCATCGATCTGATATTCTAAGGAAAAGATTTTCATAAGAGAAGCACTATTAATTCCAGGAGATGTCTTGCTATTATGTGCACCTGATTAACCCTTTACTCCATGTGTTAGGAGTTGCATGAGAACAACAGTCTTGTGTTTATATGCTACTTCTGTTTCTGACACCAGTTCTGGGGCCCTTTCATACATGTAGCACAATGACGCTGCTATAATTTCACTAATAGTCACGGATGCATCCTAAGGAATCCAGGAATTTGTAAAGTGGGAAGATGCTATAGTTCTTTGATTGAGAATTCTAAATCTTTTTCCTAAATTGCAAACAACAGGATTCCATATGATGTTTCCAAGGCATGCAAAGTGAAACAATACCATTGAAACTGTGTCATGTGAAATGGCCCCTGGATTACCTTTTGCTACTCCATGGATGTCATGTAAGAAAACGTGCCTTAGGTGTGCTGGATGGTTTTTTTTCTAGCAAACCAGCACAACCGGCAATAGGCAAGATAAAGCGGCAATAGGCAAGATGATTAGGCCAAAATATTAGATTTGATGCAGATGACTGGGACAGTTTTGAATGGTGTATTTTAATATTTTGATAAATGTTTTTTAGTGTTTATGTATTATATGTGGATTTGTGTCCCGGCATTGAATGTTTGCCATGTATATGCTGTGCTCCGCCCTGAGTCCCCTTCGGGGTGAGAAGGGCGGAATAGAAATGTTTTAAATAAATAAATAAATAAATTTAGAAGCCACGAGGTTGGAGGAATGCTGCCTTAAAGGACACCATCTCTGCCACAGCTAACCAGTTATAAACCTTTTTGAACATAGAACCTTGGAAACTAAGCCTTGAATTGTCACTGTTTAAGGACTGCAGGTCACCAGAAATAATTTTTGTCTCTCTTTTTTTGCTTGGAGAATAGCATAGGGATGGTTGACAGGCACAGCTTTAAAAAAAACTGTGGGGGGTATGCTTGTGGAGGCCACAGGCTATATTTCCCCATTCCTCAACTTTAGAGAAATTAGAAAATATGCAAGTAGAAATTAGAAATTAGAAAATGTATGCATGATTAAATTTGTGTGACCATGGTTTTACTTTGCTCCTCATATTCACCTGCCATTTAGAGCAATCCCAATGAATGAGAGGGTAGGGATGACATTGTGTCAGTTACTGCAGAATTTTAACATTGAAAATTTCAGCCTTGAGAAGAGAATCATTACCCAGAGGCCTGCTCTACTACTAGATCAGGCATTCCTGGCGGTGTCCCTGCTGGCTGAGTTGCCACCAGCTCTGGGTCCAGGATAAAAATCTCGTCCTGCGAAATTTCCGTCACAAAGTGCAAATGTTCCTGCAGCAACATGAAAGTGACAAGGAAAAATAAAACCAATCATCAGATGTGAAAATAAGCAGTCATAAGTCATTGCCATCAAAAGAGTTATACTGTGCATGTCCATTCCTGACCCTTATTCTCAGATCATTGCTTCTAAAATTGCAGGCTTAGGGATCAAACTCAGTCATATGAATAGCAGTTTTCAATCAGATAATCTTCAGACATTGTTCGACTTCAGGTCCCAAAATCTCTAGTCATTGACTATGCCGACTAGATCTTCTAGGACAGTGATGGGCAACCTTTTGAGCTTGGCGTGTCAAAATTTGCCAAAAACCTGAGCATAACTTGGGTGGGGTGTCAACTTCGAGGGGAAAAAACCATAATTTTGCAATATTTATAGTTTAAATAAGAAAAATGCATATTCCATGCTGAGTTATGGAGTGAACAATGCTCAAACGTGCAAATGTTAAATTTGTAGAGCCTTTTACAATTTAAGGATGGAATTAGATTGGCTCTTATAAGGTGTACTTCTCTGTATGCGGCTGCATGTGGCCGCGTGTCATCAAAAATAGCCATGCGTGTCAGTGCTGATGCATGTCAAAGGTTCACCATCACGGTTCTAGGAGCTGGTTCAGTAATAATGGACTGTTTTGAGACCCAACGTGCTAAAGAAATTTTTCAAACCTGGTGCTTACCAAATGCATTAGAACACCATTCGCATTATGTCCCAGGACCAGGAATTATACATATTCCAGTCTGATACATCTGGAAGGAACCTGTTTTGAAAAGCTGCTGTAGATTTACAGCAGTTTTTCAAATCTGGGCAGAAAAAATGTGAGCCATTATCAATGTGACAGAAAACAATTAAAATCTAGCCTTTGCCTACTCCTTGTTCATAGATAACAAAAAGACTATTGAGAGTGAGATGGAATATTCTTAAAGGTCCATCTCACTCTGGATGTTCTTTTTTCATCTTGCAGACAGTATAGGATGATAAAAGCAAGGACAAATAGGCTGAGAGATAGCTTTTATCCCAGAGCTGTGACTGTTTTGAGCTCTATGGTTTCACATTTATATGGCATTAGAAGTTGTGCAATAGTCATTAGAATGTGGAAGGATGGGTGTTTTGCTTTGTAACTCTATCTATACAATGTGTTGGGGAAGGCATTCAATTTCATTGCACAATTACAATGACAATACAATGATTCTATATTCTATATAACCATGCATAGGTGCTGAAATATCACACAAATGAGTCAATTTTAGGGAAGACCATAGACATTGTTTGGTTTTCTCCAGCACTTATGCAGAAACTGGACCTTGTGTGTGATAATGGATCACTATGATGAGCTGGGTGGTTTTGTTGGAAAATTAATGAATCCGTTGAATAACGTATTGGGACGAGAACATTAGAGATAATCTTTCACTAGGATAGCTTAGACTCTTTGGCTTAGTTGCCATCTGTAAAATGAGATGGGCAACCACAAAGTTGTTGTGAGAGTAAGAGGTTTCTAAAAAAAAAGTCTCACGATGCTGCAATGCTTCCTTGCGCACTGAATTCAATGAGTCTTACTTCCAAGCATATGTGCATAAGATGAAGCTGAAAATGGGTTGAAAAATACATGTTTGGAGGTTTGACTGGATGACTGTTGATCTAATACAGCAGGCTTTTCTTAACATTCCCACAAATGTTTAAACATACACTTATGCAGTACATTGTAACTGCATAGCCCTAAATTAGATTTGAACAACAACAACAATAAAAACCAAACCAAATGCATTCTATGTTTGCAAAACTTTCTATAAGCATCCAACAAACAAAAACTGCTCCATTTTTTTTTACAAATGTTGTTATCCCTTCAGTTTGATGTACTTTTAAAGCTTGGTGGATATTTTCTACAGTCTTGTAGTATTATCATAATTTCCAGAGTTATCTTATCTCATGCACAGAGGATTAGGATTTTAGGAGGACAGTAAACAGCCAGAGAAGATAAACTCTGAGATTTTCCTTTTCTAAAAAATGCAGCAGTCCTAGGCACAAGGAGATAAGCTAAAAAGGAGCAAGAAGTTGTGCTATTAGACTTCAAACTTGCTTAAGCCAGAAGGGCAGAGTCTATCTGTTGACTGACTATGGTTCTCTTGTGCCAATTTAGAGGTTTTTTAAAAGAAAAATTATACTCTACTGATCAAATTAAAATCATGCTTAGAATGGAGAAAATGCCTTGGATTTTGATATGTTTTTATTTGAGGTTTTTGTACTTAATAATGGGCTCACATTGTAATCTAATTACACAAAATATTAAATGAATATTCTGGATTTTAGAGTATATTTATTTATAGTCAAGACTAAGCACCCATGCTTAGACCTAAAGTGGGGAGATGGAGAAGTTTAAATGTTCCCCTCATCTCTTTTTAATCAGAAAAGAGAGAGAGAAATAATCCATCACTGTCAATAGAAATTTTCTTTTCATACCATATTCAGGTTAGAGAGGGATTTTTAGACTACGAAATATATGGAGGGCGGTCAACCTGCTCCACTCACATTGCTCCAAATCTGGATCATAACCACATCTGTACTTTTGAGCAAAAAGAGGGTCACCTTAAACTGCATAATGCATTTTAAATATCTTGTGTGGTTTGCTCCTCTGAATTTCAAAGTCCTGAAGTCTTTTCATATTGAGACTTGACCTGCATGTACTGCACACTATAGTGGTAATTCAGCACTTCATGAGGCATCACAGAAAAGCTAAAAGATAGGCAGGGTGAAGGACATCATCAGCTCCACTTCTATGAAGCTACAGTGAGCAGAACATAAACTGATAAAATAGCAAATAGCTTAAACCTTGCGATTGTTCTTAATTTTTCAAATACATTAATGGACCTAATCCTGCACAATTCATATCATCAGAGGGGGGAGGGGAGCACCCCATGATAATATGCTTGAAACTGGTGGGTCATTTTTCTTCTCTTTGTGGTCCTGAATGGACTGTACCAACACCGTATCTATGACTGAGAGTGACCTTCTGATCACATTTTCAAATCATTTTTCAGGTAACTCTTTCTTTCAAATTGGGTGCTTTGTGACCATTACTCCACATAGTTAAAGCACTATTACTCCTTCAACCACCATGGATCCATTCTACAGAATGCTGGGGTTTGTGGTTTAGAGAACGCTATCTGGAATTCTCATCCAGCGAGCTCTAGTGTCTTGCCAAACTACATACCCCAAAGAATGCAGTCCTTCCAAGACCCTGCAAGGAACAGATATGACCCATGGACAACACAATTCTCACTCTTACTATAATGATTCCAAAAGAAAAGCAACAAAAATATAATACCTGAGATCTGTCGATGCGGTAAAAGCGATCAGCAGAAGTTGCTGAAAGTAAAGAAGAAAAAAATGTAATTTAAGACAAAATCTGAAAAATTGCTCTATTTTCCTTATCCATGTTCAGCTATAAAGCTAATAACAACATTTTGTTTTTGCTGTGTGCTTCAAAGTTTTTTTCTGACACATGGGGATGACCTTCTTAGGGCACTTTCTTGACAAAACTTGTTCAGAGAGATTAAACCTTCACCTTCTTCTGAGGCCAAGAGAGTGAGATTTGAAGGGTATGCCATTGATTTCCATAATCTGAATTCTGGTCTCCAGGGTTGGATTCCAAATGGTCACCATCCCTTTCCAAACATACTAAGAATTGGCTACTGGATTCTACTCTTTCTCTTCTGAAATCAAACTTACCTATTAGGTTTTAACCAAAGGGCAAAATCATGAGAATTTCTTTTAAAATTCTCTGCATTTGGGATTTTTTTAAAAAATGGCTTTTTAGAACAAGTGTTCACAGACTGTGTTTTTCAGAAAACACAACATTCTATGTATAAGGAATATTTGTATCCAAGTTAAGCCCTCTACTGAAATCAGACTTGTTCTTGAGTAAGCATGCACAGGATTGTGTCTTTTTGCCACCCTTTACACTTACCATCTAGGAAGCACCATCTAGGGGAAAGTCTTTGGACCGAAGATACTCTTGGGAAAGTGCTTTCCTGGTCCTGAATGGGACAGGAGAAGAAAATAGGACAGGGAAGAGACAATTTAAAAGTTGTCAGAACTGATGTTACAATGCATACTCTGCTATCAAGATAAATGGCATCTTATAGAGAGTAAATAAAAGGCTACAAAGACCTTGAATTCGCAAGTAAAAAGTAGAGAAAAATCAGAAGGAAGGAACAATATAGAGATTATGTGTATTTAAAACATGTTTACAGTGGGAAGTGGGTATTCAGGAGCTATCACAGGCCACTCAGAAGGAGAGAGGTGGCACCATGTACATGTTCAGCAGATTAGTTCATTAAATATAGTGTTTAGAATGAAAAGTAGCCTATTTACTTATGTTCCCTTGCCCTGCATATTGGTTTCACTCAGTTCATACCCAGAGGAACAACTATCATGTTAGCTCTCTTCTCGCTTATCTCTCTAATGCCCAACTATGCATCTTAGGCACAGAACAGCATTTCTGTATCTGAATGTATTCCCACAATGCGGTAATGCTGATGCATAATTCAGCAGTATTTGTGTAGAATTGCAGATAATATCAAGTAACTCCATATTTCAGAATAATTTCTTTTCCATCTCAAAATATGGTAAGAGAACAGTATTAACTCGTGGACTGCCTAAGAGCTAATGAAGCCTAGTGCCAGGTTTAAATAAACAGCCATAGTATATCACAGACATTGTAAGATACCATTCCAATTACCTGGAGGTATCTTACAATAAAGTCATGGGCTAGTCCAAGGCATTTTGCTGTAGCAAGTACTAGAAGGGATTATATGTGTGCACTAGCCACATGGGTCAAACAGTAATGAACTATTAACCAGAGTTGGATAGCAGGGCCCTTAGCTTCTTATGCAGAGATGACCACGTTTCAGTCTGTAGGCATATTACCAAAGGGATGAGAAAACTTCTCTGAAATTTTAGAATATCACTGTGATCAACTGTAAACCCACAAATGGAGATTATGTGGCCCATTGTGGAGGTTTTGATGGACATAGCATCAGAGCCTCCACAAGCCTTGCTATTTAGGTGCATACACCTCCTTTTGAAAAAAAAACCCTAATTTTCACAACTAGGCTTCTGTTAATTTTCTGTTTCAAAAACAGGGGTGTGGTAGCTAACAAAGTGTGGGAGATTGGCACTCCCAGATCATCTGCAGTCATCCTGTTTTCCTGCTTCTTGCCAGGGGGTTAGACTGGATGGCTCATGGGGTCTTTTCCAACTCCATGATTCTATTATCTTTCTTGGACTAAATAGTACTGAGCTTGCTCAACCAATAGTATAATCAGTATAAAGCAATCTCATGATCAATGGAGATACCTCATGTCCCCATATCACATAACCTCAAAGGGGAAAAGGTTTCAGTGAAAACATTCCACATCTTCAACCATGAGTGATGGGCATGCATGTTGTCTCCTAGTATCAAATGAAAAAACCTCCCTTAGTGCAAAACAAAATCACTGAGCAAGCCAAGCATTTGTTAGCTTCCTCCATTCATTTTCACTGATTTCCACATACTTTTATGCCAGATTAAACATCTATCAGACATGCTATGTGGTGATGGATTACCATTCTTCTATCTCCCCAACTGCAAAGCACAGTTTGTCCCAATGCCAGACAAATTTTCATTATTCTGTGCAAGTGCTACTGTCATTTAGGGGAAATGCAAATTGTGCTTCTCTCTGAATTGATGAGCGATCCCAAATCTTCCATATTATAAGTGGTCTTAACTGTGAGATTATACAAACTGTAGTTTAAAATATTGGGAGGACACAGTGTTTCCCATCCATGGGCTAAGAAGTATTATTAAACCACATGAGAAAACTACACAAAAGACAAAACAACACATACTGAATCGGCTACTGATGTCAATACCTCTCAAATTGCTTCAATGACTTAATTAGAGATACTAAAAATTAATCAAAATTGTTGGTTTTTAATAGCAAACTGTAGAATACATGCATTTTACGTATGTAGACTAATGAGTGAGAAAGATTACAAAACGTAGAGCAGTGGTGTTATCTAGAATTTTGTTTTTTAAAAATGAACAGCAACTAATATTGCCCACTAGAGACACTGACTCAGCTAGCCATAAAGTGGGCAATGAATTGTGCTATGGCCAAAAATATGCAACTGAAGAGCAAACACCATCTGGATTGTGGCAAACTGCAAAAACTACTATGTTCTTGGCTCTGGCAGGTTTGCTGTGTATATAGCAAGGCAGCACTCCTCCCTAGGCATATTTTGGCATTTTTTTTAGAATTAATTAGGTTTTAATCCACCTCTAATTTCTCTCGAGCAGGTTGATAGTCATTAATTTTGTACACAATTTTTCTATGTGAAAAACTAAGTTTCTTCTTACTAGCTGCCTCTCTCTGGACTTGATCTAAACCATACATTCAAATTCTAATATTTGAATCTCATGGTTGTTTGTGTGAAAAAGATATCACAAAATCATAGAATCACAGAATAATAGAGTTGAAAGAGACCACATGGGCCATCTAGTCCAACCCCTTGCCATTTAGGAAAACACAATCAAAGTATCACCGACAGATGGCCATCCAGCCTCTGCTTAAAAGTTTCCAAGAAAGGACCTTCCACCACATTCCAAGGTGGAGTTCCACTGTTGAACAGCTCATATTCAGGAAGTTCCTCCTAATGTTCAGATGGAATCACCTTTCCTGTAGTTTGAACTCATTACTTCAAGTCCTAGTCTCCGGGATAGCAGAAAAAAATATCCTTTCACATATTTGTACATGGCTATCATGTCTCCTCTGAACCTTCTCTTCTGCAGAATAAATATATCCAATTATTTAAGACACTCCACATAGGGCACAATCTCCAGACCTGTGATCATTTTAGTTGCCCCCCTCATGACAAGTTCCAGCTTGTTGATACCTCTTTTAAATTGTGGTGTCCAGAACTGGACACAGTATTCCTGGTGAGGTCTAACCAAAGCAAAATAGAGGGGCGCCATGACTTCCCTCCATCTAAGCACAGTACTCCTTTTGATGCAGCTCAAAATCCCATTGGCTTTTTTAGCTGCCACATCACATTGTTTGGCTCATGTTCAGCTTGTTGTCCACTGAGTCTCCAAGATCTTTTTCACATGGACTGTTATTGAACATCCTGTATCTGTTTATTTCATTGTTTTCTGCCTAAGTGTAGTACTTACATTTGTCATTGTTGGAATTCATTTTGTTATTTTTGGCCCAGCTCTCTAATATGTTAAGGTCCTTTTGAATTCTAATCCTGTCCTCTGAAGTATTAGCTATCCCTCCTAATTTGGTGTCATCTGCAAACTTTGATCAGCATGCCCTCTAAACCTTCATCCTAGTCATTAATATCAAAAGAATAATTTATTTTTCCCTCATGGATAAAGAAAAAAATTATGCTTCTGATAATCTTTTCATGCAAACAACCATGAGATTCAAATATATGGTTGTTTCAAAAATAAACATTTACGTATTAATTTCAGTCGAACAGTCCTGAATCCACCATCTACACTACAATCAGAAAAATGTTTTTTTGAATTAAAACTGCCAGAATCCTCCAACAGCATTAGCAAATGGCCATACTTGGAGAGAAGTTCTAGGAGGTTTTTACCACATTGTGAATAAAAACCAGGCAAAGAATAGCACCTCAAAAATATTATTATGCTATCTGTTTATTCCTAAATACTGTCCCTAAAGGCTTACATCATTTGAATGTAAGGGATTTAGATGTCTTTATTTGCAAACGCTCAAGTACATTATTCTCATTATTCTCATTTCTAGTAGCAAATAACTCTAATGAGTAGCAATATCCAGAAGGAGGCTATGGAGAAACAAGGAGGAATTATCAGCACACTTGAACAAATCCAATTTGTAAAAGTACAAAATGTTTCGGAAGAGAAATATGAAGGGAAATCTACTTCATCAAAATAGATTTCTCTATTCCCAGTGATGGCTCAACACACTCTGTAGTCACACAATGATGAGTGCTTGTAGCTAATCTCAAAAACAATCATGAGATAAAATGTAGTAGACTGCATGACTGTAACACTGAAGAGGAGCACTCCCACTGCAACATATTGTTGCCACTTTCATATCATGATCCTCACTACTAGGTTTGTGCATGGATTCGGTTTGGTTGGTTCTCTTCAGCCAATCTGGCTTGTGTGGCTTGTTTGGATGGCCATAACAGTAAGGGCTCAGCCATCATGGTTTTTTTCATCCATAACGGGGCCACACATAGCTGATCACAGCTGCTCCTCCCCTATTTGGCACCATGTGGCACATGGAGAGGCTACCTCATGCTATTCACACAGCGTTTCCCTGTGAGCCCAGCCTGTTGGTCCAATAAGATTGGAACAATATCATGACATGTCTTACACACTGCTTCTTTAACCCCATTGCTCAAACCCAGACTCCCTTGAAAGGAAGGCAGAAAAGGGTCTCAGGAGGAGTGCTTCCTTAAGCCCATTTTTCAAACCGAGACTCCCTTGTAAGGAACAAAGGAAAGGATCCCAGGAATGGAAAGGTGAGCCTCATAGGTTCCCCATTCCCATCAATGGGCTGGATCTTCCCAGATTTTTTGGCTGGCAAGCAGAAAATAGTTTTTTCCATTAGTCAATTTTCAGGAGGATGTGGGTACCTATTGAAATTCAAATACCAAAAACGGATTGTCCTCCAGTTGAATTGCAAAGCCTACCTACCACCACCATCACTATAGACATCAGAACATAGAAACATGACCTGTTCAACCATAAAATACACTGCCTCCAAGTGTGGTTAAGACTTCTTCTTTAGAGATTTCTGAATAGATTCTGGATGGCAATCTTCAGGAGTGATTTGGTTGTATATTCTTGCATGGCAGACTGGTGGTGAACTGGATGGCCCTTATTGTCTCTTTACTTTTACTTTAAATTTGTTTCTATTCTACCTTTCTCCCCATATAAGAAAGCGGCCAATAGCAACATGACACAATGCAAATTAAAAACAAGACAAATGCATAAAAA